GGATTATCTTGAAACTCCAAAAATTCCACAATTTTAGCCACTAGTGTATCTGTCTGTCTGTCTGTCTGTCTATCTGTCTATCTGTCTATCTGTCTATCCATCCATCCATCCATCCATCCATCCAATCATCTATCATCTTATCTATCCATCTATCCATCCATCCATCCATCCATCCATCCATCCATCATCCATCTATCATCTATCTTTCTGTCTATCTGTCTGTCTGTCTGTCTGTCTATCTGTCTATCTGTTTATCTGTCTATCCATCCATCCATCCATCCATCCATCCAATCATATATCATCTCATCTCATCTATCTATCCATCTATCCATCCATCCATCCATCATCCATCTATCATCTCATCTATCTAGCTATCTAGCTATCTAGCTATCTAGCTATCTAGCTATGATACATATATATCTCAGAGCATATTATAGTATATTGAAGTCAGAAGTCAGGACACAGATCCGGATGCAACCCCTAAAAACTACAGTCCCTTGCCAATCAAAGAACGATTGCTATGTTGCCCATGGGTTCAATTCGAAGCATGCATGTTGCAGTGCCACATAGTGAGGCTTTCGGTAAAATAATAACAACGACAACATCCGCCTCTCTGACCCAAAGAGCGTTGACGGGAAGGTCCCTTTAAGTCCTGCCACAATTCTCCAGCATCAAACCGAAGGGAGGAGGGAAGAGAGAAGGCGGAAGATTGAATGACAATAAATTGTTTGCCATTCAGAATGGGAAGGATCCAATCCAGCCAGAGACTGAAATAGATACTGCAGTGAAGGGAAAGAGAGGAAGGGGGTAGGATGATGGGGTGGGGGGCAGGAAGAGAGGAGAATTGGCTACTGCAGCAGCTGAGAATGAATAGCAGGCTGAGAAGAAGCTGGGAAAACCCCAGATGGAGAGATAGGTTGGCTCTTTTTTGTGACAGTGCCTGGCCACGCACCACTGGTGTTGGCAACCCCAAGAAGCAGACAGGTGGGACAAACTGAAGTGCCATTAAGAGATCATCCCTCCCCACCTGGCCCGAAGCCCCAGAATGCATTGTAGAGTCCAGAAAAGTCCTTTCTCAATCCCATTTAATAGGGAAGAGTGCTTCTGAGCATGTGCCGAGTGCATTCAACACCACAAAACGCCTGTAGAACACGGGTCCGTTTTGGCATTGCCAAACTCAGAGTGGGCTCCTGATGAAACCAAGACATAGACTCCAAACAGGTCAGACACAAAAAGCCTGGGATTGTTCTTCACCGACCTCCTATAAACGTATAAAAGGTAAAGGTTCCCCTCGCACATATGTGCTAGTCGTTCCCGACTCTAGGGGGTGGTGCTCATCTCTGTTTCAAAGCCGAAGAGCCAGCGCTGCCCGAAGACGTCTCCGTGGTCATGTGGCCGGCATGACTCAACGCCAAAGGCGCAGGGAACGCTGTTATCTTCCCACCAAAGGTGGTCCCTATTTTTCTACTTGCATTTTTTACGTGCTTTCGAACTGCTAGGTTGTCAGAAGCTGGGACAAGTAACGGGAGCTCACCCCGTTCCGCGGCGCTAGGGATTCGAACCGCTGAACTGCCGACCTTTTGATCGACAAGCTCAATGTCTTAGCCACTAATCACAAAGACACGCCCATCTTGTAATTGACTCCACATTGCATGCTTTGGATTAATCTTTTCGAGGTTCAGTTGCTAAATTGTGTCCGAGTCTTTGCAACCTCATGGACCACAGCACGTCAGCCCCCACCTGTCCTTCACCATCTCTCAGAGTTTACCCCAATTTCATGTTCATTGCGTCAATGATGCTAACTAACCATCTCATCCTGTGCCGTCCCCTTCTCCTTTGGCCTTCCATCTTTCCCAACATCAGGGTCTTCTCCAAGAAGCCCTCTCTTCTCATTAGGTGGCCAGAGTATTTTTTTTTTTAATTTGATTTATATGCCGCCCTTCTCCGTAGACTCAGGGCGGCTTACAATGCGTTAAGCAATAGCCTTCATACTTTTGTATATTTTATACAAAGTTAGCTTATTGCCCCCACAACTGGGTCCTCAATTTACCTACCTTAGAAAGGATGGAAGGCTGAGTCAACCTTGAGCCTGGCGAGATTCGAACCTGCAGTAATTGCAGGCAGCTGGTCTTAATAACAGGGTGCTTTAGACCACTGTACTACCAAGGCTCTTTGAGCTTCAGCTTCAACATCTATTCTTCCAAAGAATTGGGTTGCCTAACAGGGATGAATTTCTAAATTCTGCTGCCCAGTTCTGCATTCGACCCCCTATTGTTTCTGCAGATGCACCCCTTCCCCTCAATACAGGTAGTCCTCGACTTATGACAGTTCATTTAGTAACCGTTCAAAGTTACAACGGCACTGAAAAAAAGAGACCGATGACCGTTTCTCACAGTTACGACCTATGCAGCATCCCCCAGGGTCAGGTTGCTCATAATTCAGACGCTTGGCAACTGGTTCATATTTATGACGGACGCAGTGTCCCGGGGTCATGTGATCCCCTTTTGCGACCTTCTGACAAGCAAAGTCAAAGGGGAAGCCAGATTCGCTTAACAACTGGGTCATTCACTTAACAACTGCAGCAATTCACTTAACAACCGTGGCAAGAAAGGTCGTAAAACAGGGTTAAAAGTCACTTAGCCAACAGAAATTTTGGGCTCAGTTGTGTTCGTAAGTCGAGGACTACCTGTACAAGCCATCATTTTCCTCCTATGCCAATGATAGGACATCTTAGGAGAATAATCATCCTGGCCATTTTCAATGCAATCCGTTGCCAATTGTTCAGCTGCCCGATCAGGTTGAAAGCCCAGCTTAAAGCCCAACAAGTAGCAACTTTTCTAACCGTCTCCTCTTTCCCGGGAGCATCCTTTTGAAAGCTTGCTCAGTCCCATCCGCGAGGGCGTGGTCCCAATGAATGAATTTGGAAACTGTCTCTCCTCTGGCTGCAAATTTCCCAATGAACGCTGATGTAACCCACTAGCTGCAGGCAGAACATCCTGGATCCAAGTCTTCGTCGTAACTCAAGTACTCTCGGCTCCTGCCAGAGAACCAGAGCTTCTTCTGGAGGAACAAGGAGAAGGCTGTAGCAGGAATGGCCAGGGACAAATCACTGGCCACTAACCTACTTTGCTGGCTAGTGGCAGTGACGGGCTGGTACTAGACCAAAGTGATGGATTTTTTTTATAATAGAAGACTCTTACTATTAAGAGCCGGCTCAAGGGATTGCCAACAGTTAATGATAAGCAATCAGGTTGATTTCTTTTTTTAAAACCCTTCTCTAAAATGATGATGATGATAGGAGCACGAGGAGGAGGAGGAGGAGGAGGAGGAGGAGGAGGAGGAGGAGGAGGAGAAGAAGAAGAAGAAGAAGAAGAAGAAGAAGAAGGAGGAGGAGAAGAAGAAGAAGAAGAAGACTAGATGACCTCCAAGATCCCTTCCAACTCTGTTACTGTCACCCCTGTAAGAAGACCCCCAACCTAATTCCTCCAGCAAACAGCCAAGAAACCCCTAAAGACATTCTCCTAGTCAAGATAGAATCCATCCATTAATCCGAGGCAGATCCACCTCTCTATGTGAACATTTCATTGAGCTATTTACCCGTAATTGTCAGCGTCGGAGAATTTCCTAGTGCTTTTGGCCAGAAGAGATCCATAATCTCTTGCCACTTTCTTGAACATTAGGAATACTATTTTTTTTTTTAAAAAAAAAAAAGCAAACACCTGTCGGATTATGAGGGATCATGAAAACGTCCCGGTGGTCAGAAGAAAGATTTGGATCGCGAATTGCCCACCTCCCCCATTTAACAGTAGCTCCGCAAAGCATCTCTTGCCTACTCTGGCCATCCTCTTCCTAATTCTGGGGAGGGGGGGAGGGGGCAGGAGAGGACAGAAGATCTCCATTCAATTCTGATTGCTCCTTTCACAAATTCCCACACCCCACACCCCACTCCATCCTCCCCTGCCCCCCTCCCCTCCCCGCGGGGCTGCAACATCGTTCATTCTAAAACGATGGTTATTGTTTGTTTTTTTTAGCTCTTCCATCCATATACCATTTTTTATTTTTATTTTTATTTTTTTGCGGGGGAAAAAAAACGCAAGATCCCACAAGCTGGAAAGTCCACCCCACCCCCATCCCCCCACACACACCCCTTTCTCGTTAAGACAGGGGTTTCACGTTCTATTCTCTAAACCCGGTTCGATCCAGAGCAAGAATCGAGGTTTTGTTCATTTGGGGTCAAAACAAGCCCCTAAGGTTGGGATCTGGGCGAAAAAGGGGGGTGGGTGGAAACACCCCCCTCCGCGCCCTCTTCGGCTCGCCCCCTCCCTCAAAAGAGCGACCCCACCCACTCACCCACCCACCCAAACGCCAAGAGCGCAGAGAAGTCGTCGAGTTTCTCCCATATTCCGTTGGTTGAAAGCTTCCCCACCCGGAGGGGAAAAAATTCCCCCCGTGGAACGGACGGACGGACGGACGGACGGACGGGGCTTGGCAAAATCCCTGCCGAGCGGGTTGCAACGAAGCGGTCGGCTGTTTTAAGGGCAGGAGCCGTCGGGTCTCCGCTAGAGAAGTCTTCCCCACGTCCCCGTCCCAGTCCCGGGAGGATCCAGATCGCTTCCAACCTGCCTCGACGGTCCGGCTGGAGAAGCCCGGCGCCCGGTTCAGTTGCCCAAAAAAATGCCATCGGAGACCCCCGGAGGGACCCCTGGATGGGTCTCTCTCCCCCCTCTCTCTCTCTCTCCCTCCCTCTTTCTCTCTCTCTCCCTCCCTCCCTCCCACCTTCTCTCTCTCCCTCTCTCTCTCCCTCCCTCCTTCCCTCTCTCTTCCTCTCTATCTCTCCCTCTCTCTCTCCCTCCCTCCCTCTCTCCCCCTCTCTCTCTCCCTCTCCCTCTCTCTCTCCCTCTCTCTCCCTCCCTCTCTATCTCTCCCTCCCTCTCTCTCTCTCTCTCTCTCCCTCTCCCTCCCTCTCTCTCTGTCTCTGGCTGCCGCGCTTGGGCGCTTACCTCGACGCTGCTCTCCCCGCTCTCCGGGCGTCTTGGCCGGGCGATCCCCCTCGGGGTGGCAGCCAAGGGACTGCCGCCAGCGGCAAAGAAAAGCCGCGCCGTCTCCCGCGAAAGCGCAGAGGCTCCCGATGAGGCTGGGAAGGGGACCTCCCTTCGGGGCGGAGCGGAGCCCTCGAAGGGGCGTGGGTCTGTTTTATTTGTGAATGTAAAGCGGGGCGCTTGTGAATGGAGGGAGGGGAGGGGAGGGGAAGGGAAAAGAAAAGAGAGGGGTGGGGACTCCGCCCCCTGACTCCGCCCCTTTCTCTTCTCTTCCCTTCCCTCCTCCCTTTCTCTCTCTCTCTCTCTCTTGCCTTTCTCTTACTTTTCCTGGAGCAATTAATGCTCTCTCCAAGTGGCGTCATTGCGTTGAAATGGAATCGGCCCATTAAGGCGTCCCCGCAGGGATCTCCGCCGGCTCTTCGCCCTCCGTCCGCTCCTTCCAACCGGGCTGCCTTTGCAAAGCCGAGAGCCAGCGGCGGAACCGCACGAATTTCCGAGGCTGGGGCGGCTGGGAGGAGAGGGGAGAGGGAAGAGAGAGAAAAAAAGAGGGGGGGGTTCTCCAGTCTTGCAAGCCGGGATGCCTCAGCCGGATCAATTAATATTGTACCTTATGATTTTTTTTTTTTTAATTTGATTTATATGGCCCCCTTCTCCGGAGACTCAGGGCGGCTTACAATGCGTTAAGCAATAGCCTTCATACTTTTGTATATTTATACAAAGTCAACTTATTGCCCCCACAATCTGGGTCCTCATTTCACCTACCTTAGAAAGGATGGAAGGCTGAGTCAACCTTGAGCCTGGTGAGATTCGAACTTGCAGTAATTGCAGGCAGCAGATGTAACTGGATGTTAATAACAGTGCTTTAGTGCTTTAGTCTGCTGAGCCACCAGAACTCATTCTTATGAAGGTATCTTTTCTTTTATGTACACTGAGAGCGTGTGCACCAAGACAAATTCCTTGCGTGTCCAATTACACTTGACCAATTAAAAAAAAAACTATTCTATTCTAACAGTAACATAGTTGGAAGGTGTCTTGGAGGTCATCTAGTCCAACCCCCTGCTCACCCAGGAGACCTGTACTAGGGGTTCGAACCACCGAACTGCCGACCTTTCTGATCAACAAGCTCAGTGTCTTAGCCAGTGAGCCACCTAAACAACTTGAAAGTAGTGACAAATAAAATAAGCACACACACACACACACACACACACACACACACAGAGAGAGAGAGAGAGAGAGAGAGAGAGAGAGAGAGAGAGAGAGAGAGAGAGAACACCTGAGTTCTCAGCACAAATGCATTATTGGAGCTTTTAAGTGCTCAGATCAATGGGATCTGAGGGTGGGGGGCTCAAAGATTAGATAGTTTATAATCCTGGAACATGTTACAGTGCAACAGGAAGGCCTGGTGCATTCGAAAGAAAGGGACTTCTGAGCATTGGCAGAGTTTCCCAGCAGGGAAAAACCAGGGGGAAGTATCCATGGGATGAGAAATCTCAAAAGCTGGCTTTGAAATCCAGGACAGCTATTCTTGGCACATGGTTAGAACCTTAACCCTGTTTTAATCATGGTTTATTGAACAAATCACAATTGGTTGGCTGTCTACAACATGCTACGCCTTGGTTTACAAAGGTCCTGCCGAAAATTAAATAAACTGTGTTGTATTAGCTTTGGAAAAGAACTTTAAGCAGAAAATAAGAAACACACTATCTAAAACTGCACTCAAACTAGTTATTAAGAATAAGAATACTAGCCCAAAAAATGCTTTTTCAGGGTGCAACTGGACTTTCTTGTTTTTCTTTGAAGATGCTTCGCTTCTCATCCAAGAAGCTTCTTCAGCTCTGACTGCCTGGTGGGGAATGGAAGGATTTATACTCTTTGTAGACAGCTGGTCCTTTGCATTCTTCTGCATCTCAAACTGAAGCAAAAATGGTTCCTGAAGTCTGCCATTTTTTTCTGTAGTCTGCAATTTTCCATTCCGCACCAGCCAGTCAAAGCGGAAGAAGCTTCTTGGATGAGAAGCGAAATGTCTTCAAAGAAAAAAACAGAAATTCCAGTTGCCTCTTGAAAAAGCATCTTTGGAAAAAGCATGTCCTGGGTGACTGAGAATCTCCATAGACAGTAAGAATACTGAGATCTGGATTCGGGTCCATCCTTGGTCATAGATATACTCTTAAGTGGCTTTGGGCCAGTTTCTTAACTATCCTACCTCACAGGGTCGTTGTGGGGACAGAATGAAGGGAAACTCCTATTATTATTATTATTATTATTATTATTATTATTATTATTATTATTTAATCTTTAGTGAGATCCACAGCCTTTGAAGCTGGTTAATAGTTCAGCAGCTGGAGTCCTAACCAAGGACCTAGGAACTGTTAAGGTATCGTCGGAGGATGTAAGCTGTTCCGAGTAAGGTGGTTTTTTGTAGAGTCAAAATGTTCAAGTCCGGCAAATTTAGAATTTCTAAATAGCGGGGTAGCCCTTTGGGTATTGCTCCAAGGGCTCCAATTACAATCGGGACAACACACGATTTCTTTTTCCACAGTCGCTCAACTTCAATTTGCAAGTCCTGGTACTTTGTGATTTTTTCTTGCTGCTTATCTTCAATCCGTGCATCACCAGGTATTGCAATGTCAATGAACCATACTTTTTTCTTTTCAACTATTGTATGTCAGGTGTGTTGTGGACCAAGTGCCTGTCAGTCGTCTTATTATTATTATTATTATTATTATTATTATTATTATTATTATTATTTATATGCCGCCTTTCTCCAAAGACTCAGGGCGGCTTACAATGCATTTAAAAAACCATTATAAAAACATTTAAAAATTAAAACATTAAAATCCATTCACACCTTTCATGGCTGGATCTCACAAGATCGCAACAGCAAGATTAACGGCCCCAGGCCTGCCGGAAAAGCCAGGTCTTCACTGCTTTTTGGAAGGCCAATAGGGTGGGGGCGGTCCAGACCTCAGGAGATTAACTGGTTCCAGAGAGCTGGGGCAGCCACAGAGAAGGCTCTCCCCCGCGGGCCTGCCAGCCGGCATTGTTTAGCTGATGGGACCCGGAGGAGACCAACTCTGTGGGATCTTACCGGTCACTGGGAGCTATGCGGTAGAAGGCGGTCTCGAAGATAACCTGGCCCTGAGCCATGTAGAGCTTTAAAGGTAATAACCAACACCTTGAATTGTGACCGGAGACCAATAGGGAGCCAGTGCAGCTTGCGGAGAATTGGTGTAATGTGGGTGTACCTAGGTGCACCCACGATAGCTCGCGCGGCTGTATTCTGGACCAACTGCAGTCTCCGAACACTTTTCAAGAGTAGAACAGGTGGAATAATCTTTATCCATCATAACAGTCATGATAATTTAGGAGCAAAACCTCTTCTGGTTAGAGCATCATCTATATAATGACATTATGGTACTTAGGTTAGTAATATAATACCAATAGAAAACTCAGTTCCTTTCCTTCTGCAATTAAGCAGATTGCATCTAAAAAGAAGGAAGCAGAAGGATGGAGGTGGGAGGGAAAATCAGACACCAATTTATGTGGGCCGGACAGGTTTAACAGATTAACCGAGTTAGAAGGGACCTTGTAGGTCATCTAGTCCAACCCCTCACCCAAGCAGACCCTACACCATTTCTGACAGATGGCAGTCCAGTCTCTTCTTGAAAGCTTCCAGTGATGAAGCTCCCACAACTTCTGAAGGCAACTTCTTTTTCCATTGGTTGATGGAACTGTCAGAAAATTTCTCCTTATTTCCAGGTTGAATCTCTCCTTGATCAGTTTCCATCCATTATTCCTTCTCTGGCTTTTAGGTGCTTTGGAAAATAGCTTGATCCCCTCCTCTCTGTGGCAGCCCCTCAAATATTGGAAGACTGCTATCATGTCTCCCCTGGTCTTTCTCTTCACTAGACTAGACATACCCAGTTCCTGCAACAGTTCATCATATATTTTAGCCTCCAGTCCCCTGATCATCTTGGTTGCTCTTCTCTGCACTCTTTCTAGAGTCTCAACAAGTTTGGAGATTCAGTGTCTGGACCAGTGGTTTCTCAGCAACTTTAAGAAGTGTGGACTTCTTAACTCCCAGAAATCGCCGGCCAGCCTTCTGGGAGTTGAAGTCCACACCTTTAAAAATGACCAAGGTTGAGAAAAACTGAACTGCTGATGAGCTGGGTGCAGAATCTGAACAGATGATCCTCAACACTGTGACCGGTTTTTCCAGGTTCTATTTTGTGTGTGTGTGTGTGTGTTTGCGTGCACACAACTTCCCACCCTCTGCGATTATATTGTCATGCATGTTACATACCCTGTTTCCCCCAAAATAAGACATCCCCTGATAATAAGCCCAGTCGGGCTTTTGAGCGCACGGCAATAAGGCCAAGCGCTTATTTCAGGGTTCAAAAAAAATAAATAAATAAGACAGGGTCTTATTTTCGGGGAAACACGGGTAGGTTATCCAAGAAAGATGCACATTCTCTACCTTGGGCAAGTTTGTTTTGCATCAGGATTGCGGTTCATATTTATTAAAAAGTAAACTGCATTGAGTTCAATGAGATGAATGCTCTCATTGTAGCACTTATTTAACTGGAGCATCTTCTGCAGAGCAAAGGGAAACTACTTTCTTGTTTTCTTGAATCAGCATCTCAAGGTTTAGCTGCAAAAAGGAAGCAAGAATAACTTTTGGTGTTAATACTCTGGCAAGTGAGCCAGTTCAGCCTCCATGGGCTTTCAGTTTCCTTCCTCCCTCCCTCCTTCCCTTCCTTCCTTCCTCCCTTCCTGCCTTCCTTCCTCCCTCCCTCATTCCCTTCCTCATTAACTTCCTGCCTGCCTGCCTGCCTGCCTTTCTCCCTCATTCTCTTCCTCCCTTCCTCATTCCCTTCTCATTACTATCATCTTTCTTCCTTCCTGTCTTCCTTTCTCCCTCATTCCCTTTCTCCTTTCCCCATTTCCTTTCATTTTCTCATTCCCATCACCCTGTTCCTTCCTGCCTTCCTTCCTTCCTGCCTTCCTTCCTGTCTTCCTCCCACCCTTCCTTCCTTCCTTCCTTCCT